AAACATGAAACTGTTATAACAGAACAGAAATAATACAGTTATTTTTTCTTCTATTTTTTTTTAATTTGTTTTTTTTTTTTTTTGAAAAAGAGAACAAAATGTTTCTTATTTGAAAATGAATTAAAGAAAAATCAGAAAAATATGTAGTTCAGTTGTTATTACAGAAGAAAAACAAAAAAAAAAAAATATGAAAAAAAAAATTTAATTTTCTCTTTAGTCCTGACATTTCTCACACAAATAAATTGTCGTAATTACGAACAAAAAATTTTCAATCAAAGGATAAAATAAAAAGAAACAAAAAAAAAATTCTAGTAAAAATGTAAAGGAATATTGTGAAAATGAAAACATTTCTCTCCCTTTCTCTCTCTTTCACTCTCCCGTTATTTTTTCCATTTTACACTTAAATACTTGTTTCCTTTGTAATTTTACCGGTACAAATTATTATTTTGTAAAGATATCCTTGCAAAAATCATTACTGACTGCTTTTTCTGTTTTGTACTTATTTTTTTCAAAGGAAAACAAAAAAAAAAAAACAAAAACAAAAAATTTGTTCGTCTGTAGAAATTCAGTTTCACTAATTGATTTAAATTAAAATATGAGAAAATTATTATACTTAATTTTAAAATTATAAAACCACATACAACTATAATAATTATGAAAAAAATAAAAGGAGAAAAGTTACAATATTCATTATGGATTCATGTATAACAGTATTTTTTATTTCGTTGGAATTTCGAATTCATTAATTTTTTTCATTATATTTTTTTCTCTTTGGTTTTTTTATTTTGCCCTACATTTGTTATTAACACTAAATTTCTGAATATACAGGTTCGTTCTTCTAGATCTCATAAATTAATTTTTTTTAACAATTTCCTGGTTACGTCAGGGTTTAATGTTGTAAGGGTTAAATTAATGAAAAGGCTGCTTGATCAGTTGCTTATTATATTTTTTTATTAAAATCTTTAATTCGGGTGTGTTTAAAAATATTTTTTTGTCAAAAGAAATTTATAATTCGGACATTTTCAACAGTATCAAATTCTTATACTTATAGTTTTTGTATTACTGGACTGGAGACCGAATTCATAGAAATTCTCAATTATTTTTGATAGAAAAATGTATACGTCATGAAATACTGGCAGGTACATTTATTCTTATCTATTATATACATATGAAATTTTGGTACTCCTACATTTACGAAATTTTAAATTTGGTCAGTTGTGATTTCATATGTAAGAATTTCTTAATTTTTCAGGCAACAGTTTCATCAATTATAGTGTGAAAGCAATAGCAAATATAACTCACAATAATTTTAAAATGATTCAATTAGCTGCTAAGTAGTCAACATTTTTACTATACATTGAATTCATAAAATTATTTCGTAGAGTATATAATATGAACTGCAATGAATTAACTGGCACTTCTTTAGTAATAAAAAAAAAAAAAATAGAAATATCTACATATTTATATTAAATTTTATGATGTTCAATAATTCTACTAAGTAAATTTCTATAAGAAGAAATCATATTAAAAATATTAATAATTTAAAATGTATTGGTTATTGAACAGTTCAATAGATTTTAATAGATTTTGGAATAGGTTCAATAATAAACCTTTCCGATGATCTATATAAATTTTTTAATTTTAACACAATGTTGCATTTTTGTTTCTGACACGTAAAATATTAAAAATATTAAAAAATATACTATCCATTATTCGCCTTCACTATTCGTCGTCATCATTCATTGAACCTAATTTTTTAAACATTGTATCTATATAAGAATTTCTTTAATAGTATCCTAAGTAATAGGAACAATTCAAATGGTATTTCTGACCTAAATATTAAATTTTTCAAAACAATTTCTTATTTTTTCACTTATATCAAAAAAAAAAAATTGAATAAATTATTAAAATTGTTGCATATTTGTTATATATTTAAATATAATTTTGATTAAATAGAGTATATATGTAGGCATTAATATACTGTCCCAAATTTTCTATATAATAATTATGTATATATTAAGAAAGAGAGATGAATAATAACCTCATAAAAATATAAAAGCAATATTCAATGAAAGAAAAATAATATTTTCTTTCTTCTCTCTTATATAAGCACAACAAGTACCCATCGTTAAAATCTTTTTAACATTTTCTTTTCTTTTATATTATATTTTAATAAAGAGTAGAGTAATTTATATATTATTTTATTCATGTATGCATAGGTATATATATATAAGTAAGTATAAGTATATTTTATGCATTCATATTTGAATAAAAAAAAAACTAAGAATTAGGTTAACGTTTTTCAATTGAATGCATTTATATACTACACGTTCATCTATTATTGAAAGGGGATCATTTTTTTTTTCCAAACCGAATATCTATCCCACTTTAATCAACAATATTTTTCTAATATGTATATTACATTTATATAGCTTTCTTTTTCTAATATAATTACATATATCTAGTTTTCAGTTATTCATGTACACTTAAGCAGTCAATTTCCTCATTGAAACTAAAAACAAAACAAAAAATAAAAATTAAAATAAAATGAGAGAGAAATAGAAAAAAAATATACGAGTAAAATTTCATTGAGAAAAAGGAGAAGGATCTTTATTTCATACTTCTATCAATTTTTTTTCCATATTTTTTTTTTTTTGTAAAACAAAAAAGAAATAAAAACAAATTTCCAGAATATTGTAACAAAAACCTACTAAAAAGTTTTATACAAGTATAAGAGCTCTTTTGATTTATGAACGAATTAAAAAAGAGCAAAGCACAAAAAACAAAAAAATAAAAACTTGTTCTCTCTATTTATCTACATGTATGTATAGACTCGTATATGGGGAAAATGTCATTAAATAGAAGTTTATCAGTACAAAGAACTTTTCAAATGTTATGTAAAGTTTTATATAACAATTTTAAAAGGTAAAATTTTAAATCTATAATATAGTAAAAGTAAAACTGTTATACACTATAGTAAAATTTATTACTTTTTTTTTCTATTATAAAGTTTTGAGTTATATACCAAAAAAAAAAATCAAAATTTGATCAATGTTCGAATTTTTAATATTAAATCTATATACATAAGATAACGAATGTATATATACTCGTACATATACATATGCATTTACATACAGTCTTTCGAGTACATTTAACAAATATTAGTCCGTGTATTTAGAGGGGAGTTAAAATAAGTTTTTTGTACAATTTTGCAATAGCTTTAAAAATCTCGGAATATATGCAATGTTTTATAAATTTAAGAAATACCTAAAATATTTGCTAAATGAAGTCTAAAAAAATCTTTTATATAAAAAGTTGTTTTACATTCTAATTTATAATAATTTTCTAATTTCAAATTTACTTGTTTATTTTGTGCAGTTATCTACTTTGAATTGTGGGCATAATACTTGTTAATAGTTAAAATATGTTCGAACGTTTAGGTTGAAATGAAATATTGCTTTTCTGTAATTGCATAGGAGAACCCTATAATTATCAAATTATGTGTATAGAAGAAAAATTTTTTGTAAATTTTACGAAAACTGGGATATTTTTCAAAGTTATTAGAGTTACTGGAAAAAATATGTATATTTTACTTTTACTTTATAAAATTAATTTTATAATAGTTTTCTTTCTATATTGCCTTTGTGTTATAAATGTTCAATTTAATAAGATATCTATTTTATAGACACTAACAAATTATTTCTTTAATTTTGCATTTAAAATATAAGTATTTATTTATAAACAACTTTATTATAATACAATTGTTAATTTATTTGCCGAAGAAGTCAAAAGGACATTAATAGTTCGATATGAAATCTAAAATTATGAAAATTGTTTAAATTGAGTAGATTTTTGTGGTAGACTAAAAGTCCAGTTAATTGTAGCATATTTAGTATATTCAAAAACTGTAGTTTTATCAATACTTATCTTGTCATCTCTCCCTCTCAAAAAATCCTTCCATGTGTAGAATATGTTGCATTTTTTATTTTTCACGATTTTTTTCCTATATATGTGGAGCAATGTTTTTTAAATCGAAAACTGAATGATTTATAATTTAAAATATTTTTAGATAAAAATTGCATTAAGTTTTTCATCGAAATTCTTTTTAAAATTTGAAGATATATGCATGTTATAATGTAGAGATTTTGGAAAAAATTTAATAATGTTTAAATAAACAAGAAAAATTTTGAAGCCTTTAAAAATTTTGTAAATTTTTTATTTTTTCCGGTTTTTAATTTAAGTTTACATACGGTAACGCTGGGAAGGGAAGTACTGAGAACAATAAAAAATGAAGTAATGATATAAGTAAAAGAATGCGAAATAAAGAGGAATTTATTACGTGGTCTAATATTTATGATATTTTCTCAATTTTTTTGTTATACAAAAATACATTTTGCAAGTCCACTCGATATATAGACACCATTTAATTAAATGTAATAGAAAATCCAATTAAGAAACAACATTATGTTCTAATAAAATCAGTTCCCAACTACTGCTGAATAGTTAGGCAATGGGACGCATGCATAATTTAGTGCGAATGTAGTTAAGTTGTTTTATTGTTCATGTAAGAATATATTTTCTTATACTAAAGACTCTATATAACTAAAGACCGTAAAAAAATCTCTGTACATTTGTAACATCTTTTGTTTTTTTTAAGATTTTCAAATCATATGAAATTTAAATCTTTTCATACACCTACAATATTCTTCCTAACCAAGGAATCATTTTAGCTTTAAATTTTTATTTTCATATTAATTCGTTTGTTACTCAATAAAATCAACATAATATTTTTCAAGCACGTCCTCTCTATTCCTATATTCTGTATCGCAAACAAGTAATATAAAATACCTTCACAGATATAATAATAATAATATAACACTATTCGTAAATATACGTATAAATGGGACATTTATTATAAGTGCTTGTCATGACAAAACGCAATTTAAAAACTGACTAATTCTAACCTATTTATTCAATATAATATAATATTTTTTACTTACCTCTTAACTAAAGATTTATGTTGATTTTCTTGACTAACAGCTATCATTGCATGCTTGCATGTAGGAACTTCTTTTTGTCGAATTGTCCAATAACATGTGACATTTCTTGGATACATTCCAGGATAATTGGGACTTTGTAAACGACAATTTTTTCTATAGCATTCATCAAATTGCCTTGTACAATATGTTCCTGGTGTAACACGTCCTAATTCTAACACTTTATCACTACTGCCATACCTGAAATTTTTTTTTTTTATTTATTTATAAAATATAAAACGTATATTTCTATAATATAAAAAATATAAATTAAATTAGAATAAAATAATATAAAAGAAAATTTATTATATTATATAGGCGAAAGATTTTTTTTTATTTTATAGTATATAGATACTATTGCACGTATACATTTATGTTAAAATTTTATGCATACACATATTAGATAGGTGTATATGTTAATAAAAATTAAATTAGGTGCTAAATAAATTTACACTCTTATAACAAAACCACCCCAATACACCTCATGTTATTATGTGAAACTCATTTTCTCTTTTATTTCTTTCTATTGAAATTTGTACAATTGTATATACGATCAAAATGTAAAAAGAATTTTTGTGTAAGAAAATATTATGTGTTACTATCATGACATTTATTTCTCGCAATATAGCATGATATAAAAATATAACTTGTTGCTTAAGTTTCAATTATAAATATTTTTGTATCACGTTTACACGACTACGAAAAATAAAAATCATTTTTTTTTTTTATTTTTCCATTTTGTTAAAACAAGGAATAGAATTTCAGGTAACTTAAGTAAATCTAAATCTAAATTATATTATAGTTTTAATGTTGAATGAATTGAAGAAAATTAAATTTATAGTTGATTTTTATAGTTATAGCACGAAATTTTATAGAATTAAACGTGATTTTAATAGATTTCTTTGTATTTGAATATATTTTTATACGTGTAGAATTCATAGAGGAATACAATAACTAACAAATATACGAAAATAAAATACAAGTCACCTAAATTTTAACAAAATCATATTAAGTAAAAATAAAAAAAAAAATTAGAAAAGAAAAAATCTATTGAAAAGGTGTTCGTTTCCATTTAAATTATAGTAAAATTAATATATGCAGCGTAAAAAATTCGATAAAAATTATGAATGATTAATGTTTCCCTACCTCAAGTATTGATGAAATATATTTCAAGATTTTTATGTTATGTTAACAATGAACCACAACATGACAAATATTTTGTTAAGGTTTCTGTTCTTTTTTCAAATTAATCATATGATTTACAATTATTACAATCCAATAAATCATAGTATATTTTATTATAAGGTTATAATTTTGAAATGAAAAGAAAATTATGATTTTGTATAAAATAAATTACTGACGTTTGTATTGTAATCAGAGGCACCAATTATCATATTATTATATTTTACTCAACTCTCGGTTGCTTGCTTATTTTGCTAAGGATTTACAATATTAAATACCAAATTTTCAATTCGATACTTTGTAATAAATTCAAAAGAAATAATGTCGAATCGATTTTGTAAACACAAAATATTTATTCGAGGTGATTCAGAAAGCTATACAACAACATTTTCTGTAAGGGCTGTTAAAGAACTTAAAATCAACATGTTATTTGATTTTATATTTTGTGTATACTTTCAGAATACCAAGCTTTTGAACTTCATGAAAAATCAAATTTGTTTTTTTTTATCTTTTTAGTTTTCTCTAACCCGATCATTTTTACGAAATTTTTTAAAACTTTGAAATTTTGGCTACTAGTCCAGAACAAAAGTTAAGCCCATTTTTGATTCTCTAACCAAAGGTATATTTTTTTGTATGCCTTTCTGAATCATTCTGTATTAGCTTTGTTGGGAAAAAGGTTTTATATTATTTCAATTTAGATTTTGTTTTCTAATTTTTTCAATTCATCTGGCTCAGCAGTTGAATATACCTTTACAATTTGAACAAAAATTACAATTACCAAATAATAAAATAAATGATTTCGCATAAAGTGAAGTGATAGTTCAAATGCAAATTTTTAATACTTTACCTAACTAGTGCATCCGATTGACTTATAAATTTATATCTTATCCTAAATTCAAAGGAATTATCATCAGGTTGACTGGGTGGATGAAACACCTGCAAATATACAAAAAAAAAAACAATTTAGAAATTTTTAGAACAAAATTTTTATAATAACTTTTTTGATTTAATCTAAAACTTAGTGAATATTAAGATTTTGATTCATATGTCTAGTTTTAATAATTCAGTTTTCGGGCTTGATAATATCCCACTTGAGTAATAGAGTGTTATTAGAAGTTTTTATACTGGCACCAGCATTTTTAATAATATTTTTTTACGTTAAATTTCAGATACATTCTAAGACTTAAATCTGTTTATATTTAGTCTTCCAATACTATAGTAAACTTAGTTGTTTTAACGAAGGGTGATCCTTAAGTAATATTCTTTTACATGCATTTTATTAAATACTAAAAACAAATTAAACCCTATGTCGAAAATAGGTACTTAGTGGCCAGAAATAAATTCCATAAACATTAAAATATTTAGCCTTATGGTTTCTGTTCCCATATAATAATATTTTATTTATTACACATTGTCGAAATTATAAATTATTTTTATCCTTCAAAATTTAACCGGAAAAATAAATCTATTATGTAAAATGTATCCCACAAAATTATATTGATTTGTTTACATTATTGGGTTAGTAAATGGTTTTAGCGTTACATTAATTTCATAGTAAACAAATTTAAATAGAGAATTCAAATACCTAAAACGAAAATTTTACAAAACCAAAAATCTTTATCAAATTCTCTAGAGGTCAAGTACAATATTGTTTCAAATTATTTTATTTGTACATAGATACTCTTCAAAAATACAATATTTTGTGTAGTAAGTACTTTACAAAAAAATATTAATTTATAGGTATACCAAAAGTGCATTTAAATTATTTATATTATTTAAGAATTATTTTAAAATTATATAATATAGAAAATTTTCAAAAATATTTTGTAAAATTCTTAACATAATTGCATACAATAGAAACATGAATAAATAGAAATTTCCGCATATACACATACACAAACGTAAATTTTATATCCTTGTATTTTCATAAGAATAGATTTTAACTTAGTAGTAATAATGATATATTGTGTTACGTTTATGTGAATGATGACAGTTTAAAATGTTGACATTTATGATATCTATAGGTATATATACCTTCTGTGATATACGGTCCATATATTATAATATTATGTATGATATGTGTAGTTTAATAAATCATACATTTTGTTCTGTAATTTTGAATATGATGAAAAGTATCTAAATAGCAATAATTTATTTTATTTCTTAAATATATTGAAATTTAAAATTTGTTATACTAAAAGAAAAATAGGTACAAATTATGTATTTTAAGAACATTTAATTCATAATATGGTTAAGAACAAATTCTGAAAATGTACGGATGCAAACTTTTATATCTTGAACTGTTTAAATGTCGGTAAATGTTTGAGTTAGCGAAATTAAAATATATGAAAAAATATTGCAAATTTTTAAGGACTAAGGGTCCAAGTGTTGATCGGGTTTAAGGAAAGGTGGCCCTATATGAAGGACGAAACGCAGATGCTGGATAGTATAATACTCCCTCGCATCGGAATTGTAATAATATTTAGCAATTGGTATTTATAACTTGAATTCAATATTAATAAGATTATAACAATTCCGATCTCAGGCACTATATGTACAAATATGAGATTTAATTTTTATTATACCCCATTTAAAATACTTCTTATACTTAAAATTTTTTGAATTTTGAAGTTAAACAACATTATGTAGATCAAATTTACGAGAGAAATTATTGCTTTAGTAAAATTATTTTCTTATTCTTTCGAAGCATCACTTTCCAAAATGATGCATTGTATATATAAATAGAACTAAAATCTCGCTCCGAAAGGTAGTTTTCTTATCTTCTCCAAGTTCAACTATGTACATGTTAAGCAATTGAAATATCGGGCTTAATGTATAATATTATAATAATTACATGCAGATTAAGTAGGTGCATATAATATTTGAAATCGCGGTATATAGCATGACCATAGTAATATTACTGGAATTTCCACATCACTTATATTATATATAATTTTAAATTTATAAAAAATTTAAAATTATTATTTTAAATGCAATGTGAAATAAATTTAATTTTTCATTAGTAATACCTATTGATTTCTAATTAAGTATAAAAGGTGTTACTGAAAAATTTTAATACATAATAATTTTAAATTCACTTAAATTCAATTGCAATTATTTATTTATTTTAAATCTAAAAATTAAATTTTTATAAGTAAATCGTTTGCATATAATTTTATACAATGTATTCTGAATAATAATATATATACATTGTTTAAAAAAAAAAAATATTTTTTCTTATTAATTTATTTTTAAAATTATTGACATCTTCTATATTTAAAATAAATTTAAAATTTATATTCACAAATTACTTTCAGTAATATTGTATGTTTATTGGGAAAATTGTAAAAATTTCATGCAAAATAACATAAATTGCAACTATTTACATTTAACATTGATTTTCTAGACATTTTTATAGCAATAAACATTGATTTTTGTTTATTATATTAATAGCAATTATTATTAGGTTAATTAGTTCTCTTATAAATTATTGTCGCAACTTACTTTGAATTTTTATGCATTGCAAGTGAACCAAGACTAACAAATATAATATGTTGCGCTTTAATCAATTTAGCCTAATTTAGACTACTGATATGAAACTAAAAATTTTTAAAAATTCTCCAGAATACATGGTAATGTGCATTGTTTATGGGTATATTTAATTGAATGAAATGTTTTTCCGAAAAAAAATTAAAAATAACAAGATTTTTTAAATTAAAAACCAAAAATAAGACAATTAACATTTCTTTCTCGTCATCAAATATTCAGGCAAATTTCAAGATTAATAGGGTATAACATTGAAATTTCAAGCTAAATTAATTCTTAAAATTATTTAAAAATTTTGCAAAAGAAGTGCCTTACCTATACATCGTATAATAATTTTTAAAAAAATCTCATTTAAATTTTTATTTTTCAATTAAAATTATAAAAAGAGCTGGAATTAAACTTCATATTCCCATAGACAACACACTACATACATTTTTTTATGAAAAGCAAATATTTTTCAACCTTAAATTTTTTATGTTTATATTTTAACTTTCAATATAAATAATATTATTAATTTAATTATATAAAATAAAACATGTATAATAATAATATTTTTCTCTCATTTCCAATTTGATTAACACACATATAACACACATATAATACATATTTAATGTATTTAATGATATTGAAAAAGTTTTCCTGCACTATGAAATTGAAATAAAAATTTCAAAAAAAAATTATTTTATTTTTTTTTTTCGCAGAATTTATTTTAATGGCTAAAATATACAAGTAGTATATTTATATGGATTTTTATAGTAGAGTAAATTTTTATAAAAAAAAATTTTTTTTAAAAATCATGAAATCATTTTAATTTCGATTATATTGAATACTTAAGGCACCGGCACTTAACAAACATAACAAACAATAATATTCATATAAATAAGGACAATTGAAAACTACTAAAAAAAAAAAAAACAAAATTTATATACATATATAGAAAACTTATGAACGGGATGTTGTTAAATGGAATGCATTGAGTGACACAATTATTATATACATATTAATATTACATATTTTATATGTATATATACAACATATTCTATATAAAACTTACATAAATATATGAATTTATTAAAATTTTGTATAAAATCATAATAATATGTACATATATAAGGAAAATACGATACGCCAAGCTATTCTAATGTAAATATTGTATATAAAATATGTAAATATTTTAAAATGTAAAATATATAATGTACATATATAACCTATCATATATATACAATAAAATGGAAATGCATTTTAAAATATACATACTTATAATATTATATAAAAATAATTTTTATATTCAAAAGGATGTGAATTGTTTCAGAAAATTGTTATGGTTGATATTAAGTTTATTTTTGTTGTATATACATATACATACATTACATACTGTACTTATACTTATATACAATTATATTATTATTGTATGCAAAAGGATATTGAGAAATTTTTGATAATGCATTCAGATATGAATTGCATATTATTTTTCTGTTCAGATTGTTATTTTCTACAATGTACTTTTCTACTTTTTATTATATAATATGTATTTGAATTCACAGGATACGTAAACGGATGATAAAACTATATTTAGAAATGTTTAAAGTTTCCAGATAATATTTCGATATTGTTATAAACTATTTCCATTAACTTTAACAATGAATTTTATTTATAATAATAATTTCAATTTTAAAGTCTATATTATATAATAGACTCGTTTCTTTCATTTCTATATAATATAAATTTTTTAATGGTATTCCAAATACTATATAAATACATATAGACATAAATTGTTTAGAAAATAATATTAAATTACATTGTATATAATATTTACTATGCACATTTATTTACATACACACATGAATATATTGCATATTTCAATAATTTAAGTAAATGTTTATGCAATTTTAATATACTCAATGTTTAGGAATAGGTTGTATAAGGTATGTATAAGGTTAGATTTGATTCATTAATTTTATTATTTTTTGTATTGTATTATGAAGTAAATAAAATTGTAACAATGAAAATTTTTTAACAAAAATATTATGTGATTTTAAATATTTTCATATTATTTGAAAAATTTTGTAATTATTGTAAAATTTTGTAAAAGGTATTCTGTTGTAATGAATAGAAAGCTTGTAAATTTTATTATGATATTGATAATAGACAAAATTTCGAAAATCTAGAGAATCATTTCATGATAATGCCAATTAAAATATTGTTATCGAAAAGTTTTTAGGCATACAAAGTTGAAATGTATGGGGAACCTTGAATTCACAGAAAAAAAAAAAAAATGTAAAACTTTAACAATTTTTTTTATAGAACTCATGAGAAATTTATTTTATATGGATTTTGTATTTTTGTACAGTTGACGGAGTGTTAGCTAAGGGAAAGCAATTTTTTTTTTG